TCAGGGAACCACTTCTCCTTAATAGCTTGCATTTTTTCTTTCTTAATTATGGTTTCAAGGACTGCTACCAAATCAACCTTGTATTTCTTAACCATCTCAACTAATTCTCTCTGCTTATCAGGACTATTAAAGCCCCTCATATTCTAGGATAGGACTATCATCTACTAGACTTGTTGTTTTTGGAAGGTCTTCCAACCTTCTTCTTACCACCCTTATGCTGTACCATACTCTCCTTAAGTGCAGGGAAGTCCATACCATTCTTCAGGGGAGAAACAACCACTAGTGATCCGACCTCAAACTGATCTAGTGAAGATAATGTTTCAAAGGAGTTAGAAGCCAAAGCAGACGGAGAATGGTTAGCAACAACAGCCTGGAAATCCAACTATGATGGATGAATCATATTCGAGGATTGCCACTTCTCAGCCCCAGTGCCTAAGCTTGTAACTAGATTATCCACTGCTAATTGGAGGCTTCTCCCTTCTACCGACTCTTCTACCCCATGGCCAGTCTCCGACTGAGCAACCACCGATGCCCCTTGCTCATTCACATCCTCTGAAACACCCTCTGAACCCAGTTCCTCACCAACTTGAGGCTCCAGTACCCTCGTTGGAGCCAAATCCCTCGCAGCCTGATCTTCCTTTCCCGGTCCCTGTTGGTCAGCTATGCCCATCTGATCATCCGTTACCCCTTCTAAACAGTCATGCCCGAACCTCTGACACTTCTTGCAAGCCACTGCATATTGCAATACTCCAACTGGACATGAAAAGCAGGTCTTCGGTCCGGAACAAGCTTCAGCGACTCCGGTAAAGCAGCATCCAGGCCCACCTCAACACAGACCTTGGGGTAGCCCAAGCGTTGTCCTAGCCGAAAAGATTTGTCAAAACACAGGGGTCTTCCAATCATGCTAGCCAGGCGAGTAAGAATCCGACCCGTGACATTCTCGAGCGGTAGGTCAGTGAATTTAACCCATAGCGGAATCGTTGTCTTAGAACTCTCTGCCCTAATCCCTGGCTCCCATTTTCGCAAGTAGCACATGTCATTGTGAATATGCCATGGACCACTCGTGAAAGCCCAGTGCAGGCTCGACATAGACCAGGCGATTCTCTTTCGCGATTCCAAAAAGTTCTGCCCAAGAACGCTCCCACGCCATGATAGCGATGAACGAATCGAGAGGCAAGGAGGTGAAGGATCCTGGCGACGTGAAGCTGCCGCCGGAATGGGAGCACCGCCACAGACGAAGCGGGAGACTCGTCGGAGCTCAACGGCCAAGAGAGAGAGGAGAGAGAGGAGACCACTCTAGAAGCCAACAAAACCATGATATTGATGTTCACTAACAACAAAATAAATGGTTCACATATTTCATTAAGTACAATAGTCTAGTATTGTTGGTATTTAGACTCTTAATATTTTTTGTAATTTAACATTTGATCCCTGAAACTAGAAGGAAAAAACAAGATAAAAAGTGGATAGCATGCACGACCAGAAACAAATATTAATGCGACATAGTAACCAAAAAATGAAATCAAACTTCTTAACCATACAATGTGACAAAAATAGAATATGAATGGTATCAAATGAGCAGTCCTATTAGATCACAACCAATTAACATGATGCCGTAACTCGAAAAAAACTTCAATAGTGAACGAAGCTAACAGATAATTGATCTTCTCCTACCATCAATAGTCCCTAAATCCTTAATCAATAACCACTTTAACATCTCCGAGGAAAAGAACCGCAATTAGTCCATTCTAATTGCACTTTGCACGCCAATACGACATCTCGAAACGCCAGTATCTCAGCAATCATCGGACCGTCAATATGTTGACTGACTGTTCATTAGGGCTGGTCATTTGATTATCGGTTGCCAGTTAACCGGCGGTTAAACCGATAATCGTCGATCAGCCGGTTAACCGATAACCGAAAATTAAACGCGTCGGGCGGTTGTCAGATGAGGATTTACTGTGTCGGTTGACCGAGTAACCGACTGTAATAACCATCGGTTAACCGGCTAACCAAAACACAAACCCCCTCGCCCCTATACCCCCTAAAACGACGCCGACCCTCCTTCCTAACCCTAACCTAATCCAGACCAGACCCGCCGCCCCCTGCTTCGACTTCGCCTTCACGAATCCCTCCCACCCATCTCGTTCTCTCCTCTGCGTAGCGACGAACCAGAGAGCAGAGATCCCGGAAAACAATCGACGCCGCCAGCGCCTTTGCTCCGCCGCCGCCCTTCTTTGTTGGGCGACCTCGCCTCGGCGCCACCATCGTCCATCGCCTCAGCCTCCTCTGCTCGCAGTCCTCCTCCTTCCGCGCGACACTGTCTCTGTGCGACCCCACCCCTGTCGAGAGCTCCGCCGCCGCCCTTCCTTCCCGGTAAGGGTGTCAGTTCGGGTTGGGTTCGGTTACCCGAACCAAAACTCAGAAAAACCCGAAAACGAAAACCACTGAAACCAAACCCGAACCCGATAAGAACTTGCGGGTTTCGATTACCCAAAACCCGAAAAATTCCTTATCGGGTTCGGGTTCAGTTAAAGCAAACCCGAAACCCGAAAATCCGAACGCCTAAGAATACGACCTGAGTTCTATTCATTGGAGGTTTTTAGGCGGAACCTAAAAAACCGATAAGCAAAACCGAACCCGAAACCCGAAAGGAACCCCAACCCAAAAAACCAAAAATGTATATAATCGGATTGGTTTCGAGTAAACCCGAAAAACCGAACCCGAATGGACACCCCTACTTCCCGACGAACAGTGCCCCTGCAGGCCTGCACTGCCATCTCCCTCCCCGAACAACGCCCCTGTTAGCTGCTACAACTAACCGCACAACTAACCGGTAATCGACCGGTCAGTTGACGATTGACCGAGGGCACTTGTCGGTCGGTTGGCGGTAGGCGTGTCTGGCTACTCGGTTACCGGTTATAACCGAAGTAACCGAAAATCCAACCCTACTGCTCATAGTGCCCACGCACCGAGAATGACTGGTATGGGCTAATGGTCTTTTGGGCTTTTGTTTCCGACACCTTCGTGTAATAGGTGATTAATACCCTGACCAAACCTTCAGATGTAGCTTTGTGTCTTAATAATTGAAGACTAAGCTAAAAATACGAGAAGGACCATCAACCAACCACTTTCAAGTTTCAATTATGTCGCAGCTCCATACGATAACCAAAAAGTTCGTATAATTAAAGCAAATCACTAATAATAAGTAATTAGGATCCCATCCAACTAACCAATATAGACTATAGTTTATTCTCCTAAGTTCCCATTTTTGCCAGTAAATAAATATGATTTATCATTATTATTATTAGTATAATTAATCGACAAGTATACTTAAGGGGTCCAGTGGACTGGGAGCAAGTCTACGGTAAGTTCTCTATAGCCTACACGGATCACCATCCGTTACATTAGTTCTGACGATCTCTGCCGTCCATTCAGCCTAAACTTTGGGAAGTTTCGCGGTGCTTTTTTCCTCTCCGATCTCCCTGCGTAGTTTGGCTAGCGGCTGTCCAAGTTTGGTAAATGGGAAGGAGTAGAGGAATTGGATCAGATGAAAGGAATATTGGGGGAGATGCATCTTCTTCGGTGTCCCATTTTTCCCCCACTTTCGACCAGTCTGGCGGCTCACCGAGAAGAGAAGATAAGATAAGCCTCACATGCTAACTAGACAATTCGAGCCGACTGCGAAATAGATGAATGCAATTTCTCCATTGATCAACCAAGAGAAAGAGAAGAGATAAATCGGTAATATTAAAGCGAAGACAGAGATGGATGCAATAGGTATGGTTTGGTGATTGGAGGGCCATTTTCAATTTCTTCTCTCAAAGACACCAGGGATTTAACCACTGTTTCTGGGTTCAATCAAAATACATGGGCAAAGAGGATTGCATGTCGGTGGAACTATATTTGGGATTTATAGACAACAATGATAGAAAGCAAAGTACAGTGAGTGAGACAGGGAGGAGAAGGAAGACATATTCTTTGCCACATGTTATTCATTTTCTCCACGTGTAAAGAGAAGGGTCTTTGTGAGAATAATGATTAATGGAATGCAACTTAACACGAAAATGGGGATTTGTGGATTAATATTTAATAGAGACCAAATTTGTTGGGATTATTAATAAGCAACTTGGAAGAGAAAAAAATGTTTGATGGTATCTCTTCAAGTTGGTGTAATTACACTATGTTTTTATATGAATACAACATAGACAATTCCTATTATGTATTGAATTGAATTTGTTATAGCTATTCTCCTTCCTTTCCCTTTCAATATGAGTCCCAAATTTATATTGATGATGTTAAAAAGGCTCTCTTTAAAACTCAAAGTCTATTTTCTCGCAGATTTCAACAATCACTAGGCGATTTGACAAGTGTAATAGGTTATATCACATCAAAGAAATGTCTATAATGGTGGAAGAAAAACGTAGTTAATAAATTCACTTATTATTAATTAAATATATATACCAATTATCCTAAGTACTAAATCATTAGGGAAGCATGAAGTATTTTAAAGGGTTCACTTTTTGACATATAAAACCATGTATCCTAATTTATTTCAATTACGAATAATGTATCAAACAAAGTACATTGATGACAAATCTCGAAATCCTTCAAAATGGTATTCGGCTTTTAAGGGAATTCATAAAAATAATGTCATGAAATTCAAAATGCAATCAAATTATCAGTATATTCAAATTCAATCACGTACAACTCAATTATATTTTTCACCGCTACCCGCCGCAAAGCGCAGGCCAATTATCTAGTTAATTTTAATTGTTCAACTGGAATGGTACCAAACGATAATATGATGATTGAATAAAAAGTTCACATAAAGTCTCCAATCGGGAGAAAATAGCTCGGAGAACAGACAGCCATATTGGTGTGGGCTCACGTCTCGTGTGAATTGACTATTGGGCCTTCGGCCTTCCTATCCAACTTCGAAGCTTCTTATAAAGTCGTCGACGCCAAATTACATTATGCCCCCTCATTCCTTTTTCTCGCTCTTCGGCCTTCGCTCCCTTTCACTGGCGTTTACTGTGGTTTCTTAATCTTAAGCTGAAAAAAGGAGAAGAAATACAGCGTCCTCTTACAGCCTATTTGGATACAATTCCGGAGGAAATGGAAATGAAAATGGAATTCAATTTTTTATTTTTATAGAATTCCATTTCCAATTCTAGTGTTTGGTATAATTCCTACAACTATGGAAATGAATTGCACTTTTAACCATAATGAATAATGTAATATGTTTGTTTTATTTTGGGAAATGAAATATGAATGAGAGAGAAAGAGAGTAAAATGATAGTGGGTCAACAAAATAATAAAAAATATTGATGGGTCCCACTAATTCCATCTTCATGCTCTCAATTCCTATCACTTTTGATAGGAATTGTAATTCCCATATTTTAGACCCATTGGAATTCAATTCTCAACCTTTTTATTATTCCAAACATAATATATGGAAATGGAATTGGAAATAGAATTCCAATTCCTTACTTTTTTGTCAATCCAAACAGGCTGTTACGTCTTACCGCCCTCTATTTTTCATTAGCTTGTTAGATCCGGACCATAAGAACTCAAGCAGAGTCAGAGAGAGAGAGAGAGAGAGAGAGAGAGGAAGGAAGGAAGAAGGATGTTGCTCAACGTAATCGAGGACGAAGAGAAATGGCTGGCGGAAGGAATCGCCAGCGTTCAGCAGAACGCCTTGTTCATGCATCGCGCTCTGGTACTTCTCTTTCTCGAGATCAGTTTATCGGTCTACTTCTCTGTTCTCTTCTCGGTCCGTTGAATCGGTACGGCGATGGAAAACCTAATTTGCGATTGTTCTTCTTCGTCTTCTCAGGACGCTAATAATCTTAGAGATGCTCTCAAGTACTCAGCTCAGATGCTTTCCGAGCTCCGGACGTCGAAGCTCTCGCCTCACAAGTACTACGAGCTCTGTAATTCATTCGCTCTCTGAACTCTCTTCAAACTCGGAACTCTGATTTTGTTTCATCGAATCGAAGTGAGTTTAGACACTGATTGAACATTATTGGCGAGGATTTGCAGATATGCGAGCGTTTGATGAGATGAGGAAGCTGGAGATGTTCTTCAAGGACGAGAGCAGGCATGGAGTTTCGGTAGTCGATTTGTATGAGCTTGTACACCACGCAGGCAACATATTGCCTAGACTGTAAGTTCTTACTTACCAGTGCCTGTGTTGGGGTAATTCAACTGTTGAAGCTCGTCTTAGAATAAATTTGAATTTCGCGAGCGCTAGTATAGTGGCTTGTGAAGCTGAAACGTGGTATTCGTTACCAGGTATCTACTCTGTACGGTTGGATCAGTGTATATGAAAACAAAGGAAGCTCCGCCCAAAGACGTGCTGAAGGATCTTGTGGAAATGTGTAAAGGCGTTCAGCATCCAGTTCGTGGATTGTTTCTTAGAAGTTACCTCGTTCAAGTCAGTAGGGACAAGTTGCCTGATATTGGTGCTGATTACGAAAGGTAAACAGGTTTATTCGTTGATGATTCTTCACAAATGGAGCTGTACCTTAGAATTGTAAAAGAAAAACCACCGTTATGCTTGCTGATTATTGGTTTAGGGCTTTAGGCAGTGAAAATCTATGAGGAAATAATGATATATGGTTCAGAAATGACAAAGAATTGCTGAGCTAATCATGGTGAGATATGTAATAGAGTGATTCGTGTGATATCTGGAATATAAGTATATTGCAAAAAATATCATTTAAATCACTTCGCTATATGGCATCTTAATGCTGTAATTCGCTTCTGATCTTTTCTTACATTAATTTTGTTGTGTCACTTTCAGAGATAGAGATGAAAGCTCTGTCATGGATGCTATAGAATTTGTGCTGCAGAATTTCGTTGAGATGAATAAACTTTGGGTCCGATTACACCATCAGGTTTGATGTTTATCACTAATTTCTTGTCTCTGTTGCCATGTTGTTTAGATCATAGCACCATGATACTTGATTTTGCATGCCATACAGGTAAAAATGAATCATGAGAACATGATTTTTGGCTATGCAGGGTATTTTGGTGCTTGTGATCATTCATACTCTTTGATGATCTGAGTTGAGGACTTCAATTGGGCTTTCTGGTCTGCAGGGACCTGGTCAGGATAGAGACAAGCGAGAAAAGGAAAGAAGCGAGCTCCGTGATCTTGTAATAATCTGATGTCATGCCTGTCAGTCCAGAAACATCAAACATTATGCAGTTGGTGCAGTTTCCTGTATAAGTGATACATGTACCTTTGCTCTTGTTAGGTGGGGAAGAATCTTCATATTCTTGGTCAACTAGATGGTGTGGACCTTGAAATGTATAGAGAAAACGTTCTGCCCAGAGTCTTAGAGCAGGTATGATTGGTTTCATCTCATCTTGCTATTTTCTTCTTCCCTCGAGGAGTCCATCAGGCAACGTGTGATGTCTTGTTGTCTCTCTAGCCTCTAAGCTTAGTCCATATGTTGGTACAGGTTGTCAATTGTAAGGATGAACTTGCACAGTATTACTTGATGGATTGCATAATTCAGGTCTTCCCAGATGAGTACCATTTGCAGAGCCTGGAGACGTTATTAGCAGCTTGCCCGCACCTTCAGGTAGCTTGTTCTCCCCTCGAAGGACTTAATCCTCATTCCATCATTTGTTGCGTTAGATCCATGACTCCACCATTCAGAATGTAGGGCATCTTTGTTATTATGCTATCTGGCACAACCTTAACCCTGCAATAGGAATTGCCATATCGTATGGGATGCTATATATTAAGTTGCAAGTCTCGTGATTGAGGTGTTTTCTTCTCTTTGTTGAATATGTCATATTTTTAATAACTAGATTCCACCTAAGGAAAAGAACCTTTAACTAACACAGATGACTACCTTCTGAAACTAGTTTTATAATGCTGAAAAATTGATGTCCAATTCAACATGATGTTGGACCACTAATGGAAGGGAAACTTCTGTGTGAGACCCTTGCATCAGGTTGACATACTGATACCTCTCGTGTTAATTCCAGCCAAGTGTAGACGTCAAGACTGTTCTCTCTCAGTTGATGGACCGATTGTCCAATTATGCATCCACTTGTCCAGATGTGAGTACCTATAACTAGCCCTACTGTTATCTTCCATTGCCGTTGCTCATGGTTCTTCTTCCAGGTTATACCAGAGTTCCTGCAAGTAGAAGCTTTTGCAAAATTGAGCAGTGCTATTAGCAAGGTTAATCGCTTTTTTCCCTTTTTTTTTTACTTTTGTTTTCAATGGAGTTATTTCATCGGGACTGCTAGTCATAAGCTGACTGTTGCATGTTGAATGACAGGTTATAGAAGCACAAGTTGACATGCCTATTGTTGGAGCCATTACTTTGTATGTCTCTCTGCTTACATTTACTCTCCGTGTTCATCCAGATCGTTTGGACTACGTTGATCAAATACTGGTATATTTCTCTTCTGAAGTAATTATACGACTCATGGTTATAAAAAATTGCTTTGCCATCAAACTACTATAATCTTTTCAAATCAATTCTATTGGTTATAGGGTGCATGTGTGAAGAAGCTTGCTGGGAAGCCTAGACTTGAAGACAAGAGAGCAACCAAACAAATCGTTCTACTCCTAAGTGCTCCTCTGGAGAAATACAATGATATTGTCACTGCTTTAACACTTTCAAATTATCCTCGTGTTATGGACCACCTTGATAATGAAACAATTAAAGTCATGGCTATGGTTATAATTCAAACCATCATGAAGAACAGTACCTGCATTTCCACTGCTGATAAGGTACATCCTTCACAAATTGGAAATTGAGAAATGCATTGGAAACTTCTTCTACGAATATGTAGTACCTTGGTCTTTGATCTTTGTAGGTTGAGGTCTTGTTCGAATTAATAAAAGGCCTCATTAAAGATTTGGACGTAACAACTGCAGATGAGGTATGAAATAAACAATCCTTCGTCAGTAGTCTGGTCTCTTCTTCAGAAGTTCCCTTGATTTCCATGTTCATAATTTACTTTGTCTATTCAACTTCATCCATCTAAGTTGACCTTGATTTCTATCTGTTTGTGGGCACAACAATCTAGCTCGACAAGGAGGATTTCGAGGAAGAGCAAAATTCTGTTGCTCGCCTTATAAACATGTTATACAATGATGACCCTGAAGAAATGTTACAGGTACGTTTAGATTATTTCTTGCTGCACTTTTTAAACATAGGACACCGAGGCTTCCATTTTGCTCACTCAGTTCTCCTTTTATATTCAGATTATTTACACAGTGAGAAAGCACGTAATGAATGGTGGGCCAACGCGACTACCTTTTACAGTTCCCCCACTCGTATTTTCTGCATTAACGGTATGCATTTGTTTTGGCTGTTTAGTAATCCTTCTTTCTCGTAACTAATTTTAGGATCTGACCACCCCTTGCCGCCCCTTCCTTCCCGCGCATGAAAGTCAAACTACTCAGTTGTTTTTCGCAATGCACTTTATAAAGGCTCTGTGGGACGACCGGATTAGTACAGAGTTAAGGCTTTTGGAAATAGAACTTACTATGGCTCAAGGTTGAGTTATATTTTATAGAAAATTGATGATGTGGAGGCTGTTCTTTCAATTTATCGGGTGCAAGACTTCGTGTCTGGGGTTTGATTGTTTAAAATTATCTACATGGCACACAGCTTATCAGACGCCTGCAAGCTCAGGATGGAGATGTAGTGGGAGAGGAAGTGCCTACAACACCAAAGGCAATTTTCCAGCTCTTGAATCAGGTAACTCTTTTGACACATGATTTAGCAGATGCTGGAATCCATGATTTATCTCTCAATGGGCTTAGGTAGTTGCTCATTGTGTAAGGCATGCTCTCAAGTAGGATAGCATATTTCGGATTCTGATTTGTATGTATTCACATGGGCAGTTAGCCTTGCTGGAACGGTGTTTCCCTTGCATTTGCCGTTTCAACTAGTGGAACATTGTACCATTATTTGTAGTTTACCTTTTCTGTTAAATAGTTTAATTCGGTTATGCAATATTGGTATATATGATAACCTTCTTGGTGCTCACGGTGAAAATAATCTACTTTTCCTCAGACTATTGAAACTCTTGCAGTTGTTCCATCACCCGAGCTGGCATTAAGGTTGTTCTTGCAATGTGCTGAGGTATGTATGGTCAACCCTTCTAACAATGTAAGATTTTGGGGATGAGGACAAAATAAATACAACGAACGAGAGATTTGCATTGATTTTTCAATCTCTTCTTCCTTCTGTGCTAAATCCTGGAAAATTCAAAGACGAGCACACTGTTCAAAAAGAAAAGAAAACAATAGCACACTGTTCACTCCTTCATTTCTTCCTGGCTTCTCTAATTCATGTTGGTTTTCTCTTATAATCAGGCAGCTAATGACTGCGAGCTTGAGCCAGTTGCTTATGAATTTTTCACCCAGGCTTACGTGCTGTATGAAGAAGAGATTGCTGTAATCAATTATTACTCTTGCTATCAATCCATCTGCTGAATTGAATTCTCTGAATTAACAATTCATTGAGAATGGTTCCTTCCATCTCCTTTTGCACTGAATAAAATTTCTATATTTCCTGCAAATTAGGATTCCAAGGCTCAGGTGACGGCTATACATCTAATCATTGGAACTCTCCAGAGGATGCAAGTATTTGGAGTTGAGAACAGGGATACATTAACACACAAGGCCACTGGAGTAAGAATCCTTAACTCCCTCAGTAACTAGCTCTTTTATTTATGCTAAAAAATCCCGTGTATGACCTGGCTCTTCTTTACTCTGCAAGTATTCTGCAAAGCTTCTGAAGAAGCCTGACCAATGCCGTGCAGTTTACGCCTGTTCCCACCTCTTTTGGGTCGATGACCAGGATGGAGTCAAGGATGGAGAAAGGTCCCTTTTAGAATCTGCATTTGCATCGGACTTTATACTCGAGTCAACATCTCTGACTTTGTGTGCCTTCTAATTTGTAATTTCAGAGTCCTTCTGTGCCTGAAGCGGGCGCTGAGGATCGCAAATGCAGCCCAACAAATGGCCAATGCTGCCAGGGGGAGCAGTGGCCCAGTTACACTCTTCGTCGAAATACTAAACAAGTAAGCTGGCCCCGAACACAGCTTTGAAGTTGACATCGTTTTCTTTTGTCTATTAACTAATAATCTTTCATGTCTTCCTACAGGTATCTCTACTTCTTTGAGAAGGGCAATCCGCAGATCACAAGTAATATGATCCAGGATTTGGTTGAATTAATAACCGAAGAGATGCAAAGCGACTCTGTCACCACCGATCCAGCTTCCGACGCTTTCTTTGCCAGCACGCTCCGGTACATCCGGTTCCAGAAACAGAAAGGTGGCAGTATGGGTGAGAAATTCGAACCAATTAGCGTCTGATTTCTCGCATGGCATGCACTAAAGTTATTTGTTTTCTGGGATTTGAGTAGAGAGAGAGGAATGCTTGCGTGTTGTACAAAAGGAAAAAGGTTTATGTTTGGTTTCATTTTCTGAAGTTGGGGCATAGAAATGTGTGGTCGATTAGAAAGAGGAGGGGAAGAGGAAATGAGTGGGGGTAAAATATGGTGGCTGGCTGAAATCAGTGTGTTATACTTCCTTGTTGTTTCTAATTAACAAAGACGTGCCTAATGTGATAGACGTAATAACGACATATGATGCTTTGGCCGATTAGGCCGTTTGCATCGAAGCCCATTTTATATTAAGGCCCATAATATCAGATCCAACTTAGAAATTAGATGTGCGGAGTCAAACAGAACTACAGGTAAGAGGTAACAGTGCTTGGCACCTGCACAAAGGATTACGAATGTCTCTGAAATGTATCATTTGAAGGTGCTCGATTTGGCGTCAACCAAGTTGATTCGATTTAACAAGTTAGCTTAATTACCATTTGAAGAAAACAAACAAGGTATTGTTCCAAAAAATATAACTTCGTGAAGATATATTGATATAACAAATCCGATCAAGCCTCGACTGTTTGTAATCTAATAGCATGCCTCTCTCAATGTTAGCTATTTACGTCAACAGAACTACTTCATCGCTCACCAGAAAAATAAAATGGTTCACCCAATTTACGATCTCACAACGCCGGAAATGCAGCAAAATGCAAAGGCGAACGAACTAATGGCGCTCCTCGGTACCTAATGTCCAAGGGCCATGCAGCAGATCTATCTCCCAAGCAACAGCATGCCAAGTTTATCTAAGTACCATTACTCAACCACTCATCAAGTCATTGTAAGATTATCACAAGACAGTTTCCAAACAGCAAGGACACCAAGAATACTTCAACTACGAACCTAAACAGACGTTGTCCCTCAACCTCGGACAGTGTCTTTCATCTTTCAAGTTGACGCAGACCAGAATCACAAAATTTGACTCCGACTTTCCCGAATGTCCACCGCCAGCCTTATGAAATAGCTGTCTTTTACCTCATCCTACAACATCATTTTGAAGTGCTAGCACAGGTTTCACACCTCACTGAAGTCGAGACTCTAGACCTAGACCTTCATTCCTATAATCATTTTCCGTCGGACAAGTTTTAAGGACATAATAACCATCTTTATGAACCCGTGAGTGACATGGTTTGATGCAAATGATACATGTTCTGATGTTCAGACAAGGGGCACACACAAAGAAAGCATGCTCGAAAGGGAATGCAGTTCAAAATCAAATACAGAAGACAACATTATGTAAAAAAAGCAAGACACAGAGTCTGGAATTTCCATCCTAAGAACACATCCTTCAAATGCTATACAATAAAAGGATTTCTCAGCTTCCCAATTTCAGCGCCAGGTCAGAGAAAAGACGATAATGAGAAGTTACCTACGGATAGCTTGGGAAGAGAGACTTTCTTCCCGCTTTAAGAGAGTCAAATTACAATATGGAACAATTCTTTTGTCCCTTTCTCTTCTTCTTCTTTTGCTTGGGAGGCTGGAGAACAACCTTGATGGCCGCATCAAACACGGCTTTCACATTCTGGAAAAGTAACATTTCAGGTTACCAATATAATAGGAATATTTAAGCATTGTTGCCTTGAACCAAAATGGCAGAGCAGCAAGCTGTTACCTGCTGTGTTTTAGAGCTACATTCGATGTAGGCTGGAGCTCCAATCAGTTTCTTGAGTTCCTCTCCCTTAAACAGAAAGCCAATAGTCAGAGAGACAAATTTTGGAAGAGAAGCGGAGACAGGCACTATAAGAAATAAAACATGGCCTTTTTACCTGAGCAGTAGTAATAGGCACTGCACCAGGATGGTCAGCAAAGAATTGGTTATCCTCTCGAAGATCTATACAGTTCGAGAACAAATAAGAAGCATACATAAGTTTCAAGGAACTTCTAAATGGAACGTTAGAACTGAAATCGAGTACTGAAAGGCTTACCTAGTTTTGTTCCGACAAGGATAATAGGAACCCCAGGTGCATAGTGCCTCAGTTCTGGAATCCACTGCACTCAACAGCAAGAACACTTTTCATGAGCATATAGAAAAGAAGAGATCTCTTGAACAACTATAAGCTGTCAACCAACACATCCGGACCTTTTTGGCAATGTTTTCATAGCTGGCCTCACTAATAAGTGAAAATGCAAGAATAAAGACATCCGCTCCTCGGTAACTCAATGGCCTCAGTCTATTGTAATCCTCCTGGCCTGTTCAGAGCACAAGGAAAATTCCAAATCAAGAAAGCTCACCAGGCAAGCAGATATAATAATACAATTAAACCTATAGCAAGAACACTGAAATTACCAGCAGTATCCCATAGCCCCAAGTTGACAGTGCTTCCATCCACGACAACGTTCGCACTGAAATTGTCAAATACGGTTGGCACATAATCCTGGTTTTCACCACAAAAAAAAAAAAAAAAGAAAAGAAACAGAAGCCGTAAGAAACATATAAATAACAGAAAGTTCGGCAATAGCATCAAAATTCCATAGAAGCTGGAAAGGGAGATGACCGAGGTGTTGTGGCCATTGACACTTAGTTTAGGCCTTACTAAAATGAGTTCTTCCTAATTTCGAATCAGATTCAAGCGCAGTCAAGCCTACTTTTGTAACTATGAGATTAACTTAAGAAGATAACCAACTAGATTTGAAGTTTGAACTATGGACTGATGACTCCACAATTCAACTACCAGGTCAACACGACATGGAAGCTCTAACAACCAGCTAACTGAAATTCCGAGGAATTTTCAAGCAATTCGAAGCTCGACATCAAGCAATTTATCCCCTACAGAAGAGCAGGACCAAGAGTGTTTAAGCAGCAGCCGCTAGGTCTACAACACCTCAAGAGAACAAACAAGTTCTTACCATTCAAACAAAGTCAACACTATACCAAGTAATTGGCCAATGAACTCCAAAAATAATATGAAAATTTCAAAAACAGCACCCTCTAACACCGAGGACCTCAAGTAATTCAGTGTTCAAAATCAAGAGATTATTTCTTCCTAACAAGAACAGGATCGAAGTTGTTTCAACATCTCCGGCTGGGTCTCGAACTTGTTAAGCTAACGAACAAGTTCTTCCGTCGAGATTCAAGCGAACCGAAGTAGTCATCCAATTTTAACTTCAGAGAACACAGCGAATGCGAGAGAGAATTCACAAGACGAGCTGAAGAAAACAGCCGATCTAAGCTACTCGAATGAAAAGTCTCTCCAGCTCAAATTCGCGCCCTAATTGACCGCGGGAACCAAAAACAGGAAGCGTAGCGAACTGAAGAGACGAAGGAACAGTAGATTTAAACAATAGGAGGTATGAGCAAAACGCCGGCGATTACCGTGGGGAAAGTGTTGCTGGTATACGAAATCAGCAAGCAGGTCTTGCCGACGGCGCCGTCGCCGACGGTCACGCACTTGATGAACCTCGAAGCGCTCATTTGCAGCTGCAGCGGCTCAGATCTCTCTACTCCAGCTGAGAGTAGCAAACCAACGCAAATGCTCCTGTTTCAGCTCGCCCCTTCGCGATTCGGAGTCAAACGACAGTTTCGGAGTCAACGAAGCTCATAACCAGCAGGGGAATTCCGGAGATCGGAGAGTCTAACAGCCGGCAGGAACCGCCATTGGACGAAATCGGAGAGGGAGTCTTGTGAACTGAATCAGCGAGGAGGTAGTCGAGGGATTCGGAGAGCAACCCTAACTTCTAGAGAGAGAGCGTAGCTGGTGGTTTGAAATACGGGAGAGGAGAGAGGGAGCAGGCGAGGATTGGGTGATGGCTTATTTCCTTTTCGGATGAAACGAATTGAATTGAATTGAATTGAATTTGTCTTGCCTGCAGTAGTAGCGGGCTAGCGGCTGTGTGACCTGCCCGGTTCCACCTTCCCAACTGCCCGTTTGGACAGTGCGCTTTGGATTCTCCTTCTTTCCTTAGGCTGGGGGCTGGGCTGTATTTCTATTTCCCGAAAAGCCAAATGAGGGATAATCTCTGTTTTTATTTATTACTGTGTTAAATTTTGATGGATGGAATTTTTTTATTATAAGGATGGTATAAATTTATTTTTATTAAGTGTATTTAAATTTTTTCTCCGATAATTAGAACCTTACCATTAAGCACCCTCTTAGCCAAAAACAACACAAGAGTTCGAAAAATACAAAGGCAAAAGCCTACCCACATATCCTATTTCAAGGGAGAACAAAGAAAAACAACTACTCTAAGCATTGACAGCATCTAGTAGTTTTCTGTAGAAGAAAATGGAAATCGGAATGAGCAAAAGCATAGAGTCGAATCTCTTCCCGTAGAAGTTCAGCCAGCACCTGAGTAGCTCGAGGTTGCTCTCCAAATACTCTTCGGCATCTCTCTTTCCATACAAAACTGACACACCAACACCAAACTGAGGCTTCAATCACACCACAACTTTCTTGAGACTGGATTCTTTTCATCATAAACAGCAGCATTGCATACCAATCCACTGGAAAGTCCACTTTGTTCTGTAGGAAAACAACAACAAATTCCTGCATGTACACACATTGACAGAACAAATGATTTCGAGATTCTCTTGATGTCCCACAAAGCACATAGGAGCTATCATTAGCAAGCCACCAACGTTTCAGTTTGTCTCTGGTGGATATTCTATCAAGAATGATTAATCAGGCAATAACACTATTTCGAGGTAGAACATGCTTATTTCAAATGACTTTTCACCATTCAACTCTTGGCTGCTTCCTTTTGATCGACTATCAAACCATCAAGATCGAAAACTTTTTCAGCTTCTATCTGATCATTCAATTGAACTTGATTAGTCTTATCACTCGAATTTTCAATATTTTTTTATTTTAACTCATGATTTAATTGATCCAAAAAATTAGCCCATTGATCAAACGGTCCGAAATTTACCGTCTTTTGTTCATCTAATTGGATTATGAACACATTAATTTGAGCCCTCATTATTGCCTTGTAGCCATTCTTTTCACTCAAAAAGGGCTTTTTCTCCTAGGGGTCGTTTGGATGAGTTATTTCGGTCCAAATGAGTTATTTGGACCGAAATAACTTATTCGGTATGATTATGGTGACTTGCAAGTCACTGTGCCTTAAAAATGATCGACCGAAAAGAAATCGCGGTCGACCACTTACACCAACATGTCCATTATAATGGAAAATTACTGTTGACCATTTACCTAGCCGACCATATCAGCGAAAGTCCTTTTTTCCAAAGAGGTTAACCGGATTGCAAGAGGGTCGACCTGATATTCTGAGAAGCAAATCAAAACACCAAATTAAAACTGTGCAATTATGGTACGAACTAAAAGATTGATCGGATGCTCACAGTAGAGGTCGACCGATTGAAGATGCATATCTTAAACCAACGTTGTCGACCGTGTGCCCTATAGAGGTCGATCGGTCTAGCTAACACTGTGGTTGACCTATCAATAAACATGAATTACACAACCACCTGTTATATTCTTCACCGAAGTCTAAACCTAGAAGAATATAATTATCCGAGTTTTTGAATGATAATCCTAGAACTTATATTTTAGACGCTTATGCTCAACTTAGGTCGCTTATTTTGCAAATCACTGTAGCAAAGTCAGTTTCGAATACTCATAAGGTGTCCCACCGGTCGACCGTTTGTCTCAATGATTGACCGTATTTTTTCCTTTGTCATAGGAGTTCAAGTTCAACACTAACAAGGCAATGCTATAGTGATAGATCCTTGTATTTATGAGGTCGACCATTTGTTAAACATAGCAAAATAAAACATAGTACATTTGGTCGACCATTTTGTCCAAAGAGGTCAACCGGTTTGTCCAAATCACTGCGACTTGCAAGTCACTATAGCAAAGTCCTAACTTATTTGAATACAAAATGGGGTGATGAGTTATTTGGGCTATTCAAAATAACATGGGATACTTGAGCCTCTTTTGAATCCAAGAATTGTTAAGGATGTTAATTGTGAAGGTGTGGTAGGGTTTGAGTTTCCATTCATTATGGATTGCTGCTCTCTTAATGGTAGGAAGTATGAACTTAAGTTGAATCAGTTTGTGGATTGGAAGAGGAAAGTGATGGAATGAAAACAGTATGCTTTACTTTAGGATATTATGGTATTTGTTTCTTTTACGGTGTCAAATACCATATGAAAATAATTCTTTCTTTTCATTCATCCAAACAATATAATTCTATTATCAAATTTATCACATAACACACAAATACCACATTTAAAAATTGTAGATTATTTGTGAACAAATATCACACAACGACAATCATCCATTCAAATGGATCCTATGCTATTTGGCTATTTGTCATATGATATGATTGTGGAACTAATCAAATTTATGTAGGTCAAGCCTAATGATCATTGTGTTACCGTCAGCTAGAAATGGTGGACATGAAATGGGTCGATCGTTTATTTTTTGCCTGCTATAAAAATGACAAGTAAGACCAGCAAATTGGGGGTGTCCAAATGATGAGAAGATGGATTTTGGTGATGACATCCTTATTTAATATTTTTCTCTTTTCATTTAGGGCTTCATTGGTCATCGATGGTCCAGATTCGTTGTGGTAATTGTGGCTCCTTTTTATGGATGAATATTGTTCGTGCCCGGTAACTAAGCGCCCCGAACCTCCGCGTACGACCGTCCAAGCTCGCTCACACCTGCACACAGCACGGCTGAACTGAGTCCCAAGGGGGACTCGTTAGCACTCCGACGCCCAAGTCAGTTGCCCTTTCTAGAGAGAGAAGTGAATAGTAATTTTAGAGAGAAGATCCAACCTGAGTAAATGAGGTTCACCAACTCCCTATTTATACCTCGGGCCTGGCCGACCGACATCCCCGACTCCCGCCTGTCGCCTGACTCGCATTAAATGCGCCGTACAACCAAGTCCTATGCGCCTCGACCACCTGACACCGTGCTCAGTCCGTCGAGGCGCATGACGTCAAGTGGTCCTCCCTCCGTACCTTCCTTCCCGTTGCACCCTCTTGTCGTATGCGCCCAGTGTCAGAGCCCGGGCCCCACCTGGCCTGGTGCTCCTCTCTGACGAACGGGCCGATTCCCCCAATGCCCCTTTGGGCCTATTGGGCCGTACTCCACTATCTAGCCCAGCCTATCCAATCTTACTCTCTTGGGCCCTGCAAGCCCTACCCTCTTGGGCCGCGGCCATGTCCCCAACACAAGCCTTACCCTCTTGGGCCGCGGCCATGCCCCCAACAATTGCCCCCCCAGTCTGGCGCCTATGGCCTTTTTGTAGGCGCCTGACTGGACCTCTTGCGCGCATTTCTCACTCCTTATGCGCCTTGCCCCCGTGCGAATCACTCCCCACTCGTCGTTCCTGTGCGCCTCGCTTCCTGCCCGGTCATACTCCCTTCGGTTTCCCTCTCCTTAACCGTCATCATGGGGTTCTTGGGACTCCCCCCCCCCCTTTGAGACCCTTGGTCTTCCCTCTTACCCGTTTATGTGACCCTTGGTATCCTCCCCCTCAGTGGGACTCTTGGGTTTCCCCTATTACCCCCCCTAGTCCGTTTGGAAATTTGAATTTCGAATTTCAAACTTCGAAACGGACTAGCACACTCTCTTGACACTCCCCTCTCACTATAAATACTTCCTCCCCCCCCTTGCCTGTCACTTTCACTCGCCTCCTTTTGCTCTGACCTCTCTCCTCTTCGCTCTGACCTCTCTCTTCTTTCTCTCACTAAGTCTTCGTCGAACTCCCCCCGTGCGCCCGCTATGTCGACCTCGCAACAACCCGGATCGGAGCGCTCGGCGCCTGCTGCTGCAACTCCCTCTTCTTCAGGCGCTGCGCCTCGCAGTAAGATCCCTCTCCCTCTTTTTTTTTTTTATTTTTATTTTACATGATTATGCGCCCCCGATTTTCTTCTTGCGCCCCTCTTTCTTTCCGCTCGCTTCGATTATGATGCGCCTCGCGTGGCTTGCGCCTCCTCCGAATTTCCTGACCAAACTTTGCCCCCTTGCCCCAGGCCCTGACGCGTCGCAAAGCTATGCGTTTTGCTCGTGGGAGTCGACCTGGGCCTCGGGGCAGGCGCTTGGCAACCTGGCCAGCTTACCCTTGGAGTCGGTGGGCCCGAAGCATCCCTCCAAAACTGTACGCGTGCGCCTAGAAAAGCTGCTGGTGGCCGCGCAGATGTCGCCGTCTTGGCAGTACTGCCATGCGCCCCGTTCCGCACGGATAGGCGCTTGTGGTGACAGCGGCTGGACGGGTGTTTACCAAGAATACCTCAGGTTTGGCCTGCGCTTTCCTCTGGACCCCGTTCTCGAAGGGGTCCTTGACGCGTGTCAGTGCCCCCTCGGGCGCCTCTCCCCCGCCGTTATTCTGTACTCGGTTCTCTTCCGCCACAAATGCCGTCAATTGGGCATCACCCCCACCTTCAAACTCTTCAACCATTTTTTTCCATGTCGAGGAGCAAAAACTGTCTGATCCTTCATAAGCGCAAAAAATTAGGGTACAGCTTCATTAGGAGTTGCCAAAAGATGGGGCGCACGTGGTTCGACTCGTATTTCTTCGTGCGCCCCCGAGATATCCCCTTCCTTGCTAGCGGGCGCCCCGCCACGATGGGGTGGTCGCTAGGAACACCCCATTATTTTAACCAACCGGCGCCCCTGGGCAAAACAGAGCTGGCCAATGCCAAGCGCCTCGCTGAGGAGCCCTTCGATCTTCACGACGATGATGCTTACGTGCAGCTCCTGGCCGACTTTTATCAAGATGGTATCTCGGCTCGGACGCCTTGTTTTCTAGTGCTGTCATGCGCTCCTACCCGATTTGCTGATGTTTGCCCTTGCCTATCTTTTTTGCAGGAACTGATTTTACTTCAGTGACGTCCATCATCCGATCCCGACTAGGGATTGGTCAGGATCCCGGGAGTCCTTCCCCTGCGACTGGCGCTTCCGGACCCTCCGCCTCTGAGCCTCCGAGGCGCACGATCCGAATTAAGTCGAAGGCCAAGGCTGCCCCGGCCGCCTCTGCGTCGGGCGCTTCGGG